GAAAGAGAAAAAGAAGAGAAAGGGTGGAAGGAGCATACAGTAGTGTTAACAAGTGCTGAACGCAAGTGGTAGTGTCCACTGTCCGATCAGCTTTTCCAATGGCCTAATTCTTCACCATGGAAGCAGGATGCGAAGCGCATCCTGGTGATTCCTGTGTAACTTACGAGTGTAGGCCCTGTCTTAGTGAGAGCAACACACAAGCACATGTACTAGCAGGAAGGAGTAACTTTTTCACTGTGGGTTCACAAAGCAGATGTGTCACTTCCAGGATGATACAGGAAAGAGAAACAAAGCTCCTGAGCCTGCCCAGAAAGGCCAGGGCAGACTGGGAACAAGGAATAAACCAGGCATAGATCTGCCTGCAGGAGCTCACAGTCTAGTATGAAAGGCACACATCAGAGAGTGGCAGAATGCAGAAGCAGAGTGTAGTTAAAAATGGCAATTGCATGAGCACCGAGTCCTAATGTCGGTGCACCTCTAGGACAAACAACAAAAAATGCTTCCAAAACTAGCAAGCCATCACCTTAGGACTATCCTGAGGACTAAAGGAGGCCATGTATATCACCCACACACACTTGGAAGGGCTACCACATGTGAGTTTTCTTTCCTCATATTCTTTAATAACAATCACATTGAACACTCTGAATCTGCACACAATCTTAACTAAATTTCCACATAAGAGTAGAAAGTCTCTTACAGTACGGGAGCCCGTTTGCAAGAGCTGTATCCTGAAGGTAGACAAGGGCTTGCACAAGGGCTCTTTCTCCATCCACATCACGTCTAGGAATCACTATCAGTTACACTGTACACACTGTATATCACTGTCACTTCCTTCAGCTTCAACCTGCATATCGCACTTTCAATAAATTGTGCGTAAGCAAGGATCCTGTCTATTCAGACACACAAATTCCTGAGTTTCTGGTACTGGGGACTGAATCTGGTACTGATTTAGGGATCTTTTTTTTGTTTTTAGAATAAGTTTCCAAGTTACCAAGGCTGAGCCTGAACCTGCAATCTTCCTAGTTAGCCTCAGAGTGCTAGGATTACAGGCATGAGTCTCCATTCTAACTTGAATTTCTAGGTCTTTCTCTAAAAATGTCAAATTTTTGTTCGTTTATGCAACATAAGAACAATTGTCTTCAACTGGCTATGACATCTGGAGCTTAAATTGAATTTAGGGATATGCAATACGAAAAAAATCTTATCTTAGTATCTACCATTAGGACCAAAGTTCTAGAGTCCTGTATGACTGACCAGTTTTTCTTAGGACATCTGCTCTGAAATCATTTCAACTTCTGAACAATGACACAGGTTACAGAGGCTCAATCAACAAGGTAATACCAGCAAGCCTTTAAATGAAAAACTCATCGTGAACTGTCCCTCTGCAGCTAGGTTCTGTATCAAACGAAGACAGAGGCAAGCTTAGCGCCTTCCTTCCACGAGTCCCTCCCCCACCTGACAGCTCCGTGAGAAAGCTCAGCACGTGTGTGTACATGTGCATAAACACACATGCATGTTACTCCATCAATTTACAGAGTAAGTTTAAACTAGTAAATGTGGAATGGTTACCATCCAGACCTCAAACTCTACAAACTGAGTAAAATAAGCCTTTCCTTTTGTAATTCTGGGCATCAGGTATTTTGTCTCAGCAACAAGAAAAAAGTAACTAAGACACTGGGTATAACAGGACTTGTGCAGCAGTTCCTGTGATGCAGTGTGTTCCTCTGTAACCTGGGCAGAATCCCTAAGCTCTCTGGATCTTGAAACCCTGGAGGTCGTTCGTGTGCAGGGAAAAGCTATATTCTACATAACAGGTTTCTTCACCCTTCACTGAAGCAAAACCTTAAAGAGCAGGAATGATGAATTTACCAATTCCAGGGCTTGGCCAGACTGAGGGCTGCAGATGCTAAACACATGACTATTACATTCATGGCTTATCCTAAAACTGCCTATGATTTTGTATTTTCTTCTACAACATGCTTAGACTAACAAAATATCCCCCCTGCCCACTATCCAGGCCCAACTTCCTCTATGGCTGAATAGCTCCCCACACACACCACTGATCCCTATGATGCCCTTCAGATTGAGCAGGTTCTATTAACTATGGGCCGCTACCGCTTCATTCTAAAACCCTGAATGGTTGGGCACCTTGTCCACCATGCACACCTTGGGTGCTTCTGGTAAAGTACCAACTCCAAAATTTCCCCACAATTCTACAACAACTGTGAAAGAAGCACGGTTTTAATTAAAAGAAGTAAGCTGAGTGTTAACACAAACGTACTGCTACCAAACTCAAGTTCCAAAGGCAGAGTGCACAGGACTTCAGCAATTAACTAAGTTTCTTACATGCTCTATAACGACTGGCAAACTGTTCAAACCAATTAATAGGGCTGATTTATAAAGTAACACTGGCCTATAAAATCTATTTTAAAAATTAGGCAACAAGACAATAAGAACCAGTTCTCTAAGCTATCTCCCCAGATCTAAGATGTACACTAATTCTCAATCTGCTTTTTGTTTTCCATCCAATTTACAATTACTAAAAAAAAAAAAAAAAAAAAAAAACCACACAACAACAAAAAACCTTTCAGGGAAGAATCTGTAAACTAACTAAAAACAAACAAATGAGCACAAAGCCTCCTGCCCTTATTTCCTGATCTATTCTCCACACTATCACAGAATGTGAATTACAGAAATGTATTCTTAAACATAAACAGTCTCAGAAAAAAGCTGAAAACACATACATTTTTCTTCTATTATTATTATTAACATTCACATGATATGTAAGACCTTACCCAGTTCTAATAATAACATATAGGAGGCAGCCTTAATTTGAGCTCTGACTTTCAAACCAGTGTTTAATTTAGGAGGGGGTTTAAAAATTCTCCATACTAGATATAACAGAAACTCTGAAAGTGCTAAATGTGGTAAGCAAAGCCTTAAAGAATCCTTTTGGTACCATCTTTCTCAGGTGACATCTGATAAAATAAAAATTCCTAAAGCTGCTCATTATCTTACCATATATATATATATATATATATATATATATATATATACACTTCTAACATGGTAATTCTACTTCTAGAAATGTATCCTACTCATCAAGTAAGCAAATAGCAACACCATATATTTATTTCTATCAGCGCAGACCTGTACTT